AGGGGGGGGTGTTGGGGGGTGGTTGGGGGGGAGGCTTTTAAGGGATGTGAAGTGTAAACAAAGGAGGAGGCTGCAATTCTTGATAAGAAATGTACGCATTATCCTGCCTATTTAATTGTAACCCCTCTGTACAGTATGTTCACAAAAAATAAAATAAAATAAAATAAAACAAAAATAAAAGACTGCAGCACCATTTATTTTTAACTTTCCCTAATATATACTGATAGAAGTCAAGAGGTAACATAAGGTTACAATAGTCTAGAAAAACAAAGAAAATTTCAGTAAAAACAGAGTTCAATAAAAAACAGGACAAGGTCAACTTGTAGAAAGTAAAACAACTCTGCAGACATAGAAAGCAATCCTGGGCACCTGATGTTTTTAAGTAAGCCAATTCCTTTACGTGCCTTTAAGTGAGCACCAGGGTCAAGATGACCTTTAACCTTTACTGTCAGCTCCCAACAAGAGTCCAAACTTAACAAACTTAAGGAAGCTCAGACCATTACTTATGCTGTTTACAAAATGCATCTAAATGCATCACTTTATGTATCAATCTTCTAACTTTCATCAGGTAATATTTGAAGGAAAACAACTTTTAGGTAGAAACCGTCAAACATTGGCCTTTTAGCATAAAAAGAATTGAGCAATAGTCAGGTGCCAGTGGCTCATGCCTATAATCCTACTTACTCAGGAGGTTGACATCTTAGGATCAAGGTTCACAGCCAGCCTGAGCAAGAAACTCTGGGAGATTCTTATCTCCAATAAACCACTCAGAAAACCAGATGTTGCACTGTGTCTGAAGTGGTAGAGTACTTCCCTTGAGCTGAAGAGATGAGGGACAGTGCCTAGGGCCAGAGTTAAAGCACTAAGAATAACAACAACAAAAAAAGAATTGAGTAATATAAATTAGGGTTTACATTGAAGTAAATATCTAATCAAAGCCAGAAAAAATATTTTTTATTGTAAAAATACTGTACAGTTGGGTTACAGTTACATGGGAAAGGTACTGAGTACATTTCCTATCAAGCATTGTTACCTCCTCCATCTCTTCCCTCCCACCTGCCAACACCTCTCACTGCCCCTCTCCCCATCCCTCCCCCTCAACATAGTGTCCTGTAAGTGTCCTGTACATCTCATCATCACAATGGGTCAAACTGCATCCCCACTTAAGCATTCCACTTTATTCCTTCCCCAAATTACAAAAATGTATATACAAGATGCAGAACACCTGAATCAAATACAGTGAACACAGGGGTTTTACCGTGGTAGAAGAAGATACAAAAGAAACAAAAGAGTCACACAGTGCATTATAAGTACATTAAAAATAATATCAAGAAAGAAAAAAGAACACTTGTGTCCCTGTGTTGGGCTCCATTTCACTTAACACCATCACATATGGTCATATGTACATGGCCTTTGACCTTCTCTTCTTGTCTTAAACATATTCATTGCAAACAAAGGAAACCATGAGACCTATGTTTCTTTGGGCCTGGCTTACTTCACTTAATATAATTTTTCCATGTCTTTCCATCTCCTAACAAATGGGACAATATCATTCTTTCTGATGTAGGCATAGAATTCCAATGTATATATACACCATATTTTCTTGATCCATTCATCTAATGAGGGGCATCGGGGTTGGTTCTATATCTTACCTATGGTGAATAATGTTGAGATAAACATGGTTGTGCTGGTAGCTTTGGTATGACTTTGTTTATGATCCTTTGGGTAAATGCCCAAAAGTGGGATTGCTGGGTCCTAAGGGAGCTCTATGTGGAGTCTTTTGAGGCTCCTCCATACTACTTTCCAAAGCGATTGAACAAGTTTATACTCCCACCAACAATGCAATAGGATTGCCTTTTGGCCACATCCCCTCCAACAACTGTTGATATTAGATTTCTTGATTATAGACATTCTAACTGGGGTGAGGCAGAATCTCAATGTTTTTCTGATTTGCATTTCTTTTGTAGCTAGAGAAATTGAGCATTTCTTCATGTGTCTATTGAGCATTTCTTCATGTGTCTATTGGCCATTCTTATTTCCTCTTCAGAGAATCTATCTTTAAGTCTTTAGCCGACTTATTAATTGGGTAGTTGTTCTTTGAGGATTTGGTGTTAGGAGATTTAATTTTTTGAGTTCCAGGTATATTTTAGGTATGAGACCCTCTCTGTTGTGTGGCTCGTGAAAAATCTCCCAGTCTGTGGGCTACTGATCTTGATAGCTATGTCCTTTATCATCAGAAGCTCTGCAATTTCATGCATTGCCATTTGTCCAACCTTTCTTTTTTTTCTGTGTCTTTATGAAGAAAATTTTGGCCTCTGCCACGGAGCCCTAGAGTTTCTAATATTCCTTCCTGTAATGTTTTCATGGTGTCTGCTTTTAGTTCAAGGTTTTTGAACCATTTGGGTTGATTTTGTTGCAGTTTGATATATACGGATCTAGCTTTAGTTTTCTACAGGTGTTTAACCAATTTTGCCAGGACCATTTACTGAAGAGGCTCTCTTTCTCCCATACTATTTTTTGCTCCATTGTCAAATATTAGGTGGCTATGTGTCTGTGGGTTCATTTCTGGTCTTCAGTTCTATTCCATTCATCCTCATGCCTGTTCTTGGCCAGTACCAAGCTGTTTTGATTATTATGGCTTTGTAGTAGAGTTTGAAATTTGGTGTTGATATTCCTCCAGTGCTAACCTTTCTGCTAAGAATTGTTTTTTCTATTTGGGGTTTTTTGTTGTTCCATATGAATTTTGGGATTGCTTCTTCTATTTCATTGAAGAATGAGTTTGGGACATTAATAGGTATTACAGTGAATTTGGAGATAGCCTTTGGCAATATTGCCATTTTCATGATATTAAACATCCCAATCCAGGAGCAGGGGAGGTTTTTCCACTTGCTTAGTTCTGCTTTAATTTCCTTTTTCAGGTTTTTAAAGTGATCCTCATAGAGGTCCTTTACATCTTCAGTTAACTCCTAAGTATTGTATTTTGTGGTGCTATTACAAAAGGAGTTTATTTCCACATTGGAAAGCAGTAGGTTGCCAGATCCTACTGGGAAGGTACACAGAGATATCCCAGTCTGGTTGGTCTATGAGCCCACTCACCACCTGTTAGAGCAGAGTGGGGCTTCTGCCTCTGGGAGCTTACCCTACCAGGCCAACCAACCTAGGGCACAGGCCTCACTATATGCATCAGAACATCCCCAGACATGACAACCAGTGCGTCCTAGCTAGGCAAAATAGGTATCTCCAAATAATATCATTAATGCTTTTTTGATAACTGAGGTCCAGACCTTTACTATCATTGTCATAGTCCCTTTGCAATACTCAGAAAGAGTTCAGAATAATACCAGTATTTCAGTTTGGGGAAGACCTCAACAGGAAACAGAGCCAGTATTCTATAGGTAGAAAGAAAAAAATGATTACCCATTCTTGTAACCAAACACAGCTAAGAATGTATAAATCTTGGTGAACTGTGATGGTCACTTGTGTGACCATCACAGTGCTCTGTCATTACATCTGCCTACCCAAAAAATGATGTTGGTATTTATGATTAAGAGATGATATTTCCAAGGCTCTTCACCCATCAAATACGTCAGTATTTACTGGGTAGAGCTGCTTCTGTCTTTAGATACAACCAAGGGGTCAAGAACCAAAGACCTTTTCAAGCTTAGTGTCTAAAGAATCCTCAGCCTCCATCCTCAGGACTGACAGACCAGGAGCTGGCCTTTGTCCCTGAGGATACAAGCATGGAACCCACATCTGTCCTGGAGAAGCTCAAGTGAAGGGAGGAAAGGATGGACTCATCATTGACTCCCATATAACCTTGGGGAAATCAATGCCCAGCGCTAACAATTAGTCAATTTGTGCATCTTATTGTATCAAATCTCTAATGACTCCCAAATAGAAATGGAAGAAGAGAAAAGATAATAACAGCCACACTAGATTTTAGGGGGACCTCTTTGGCTCTGATGACAAAATACAATGTGTCCTTTCTTCCACTGCTTTATTTTCTGCTTATGTTATAAGATCCAGTGGTGTTTATTCTTGATTGAACTAAATTACATATCAAAAATGTGTTAGTGTTTTTATGAGATATGACAATGTAAACAAGACCCAAGAAACAAAGAACCTCTTCTTGTCATATAATTTCTAGATGACTCTATATTCTGGACCCCATATATGGTGTATAAGCATGCACATCTGAGGGAAGCTAGGAGGAGGGCAAAGAACTATAGGAAAATGGGTGAAAAAATAGGCAGAGGGTCCATCGCCAGCACTGGTCATTGATGAAAGTGAATTAAGCAACTCAAGAGTGGTGATGGGAGGGAAGGAATGAGAGAGAAAGAGGAAACAGCTGATACTAAGCAAAAGGAAATAAATGTTCATATCACCCAATTTGGAAGAAGCAGTTTTTTGTTAAAGTCTGTAGATTCATAAGCTTTGTAGATCAAGACAATGACAAGATGCATTGTGAAGGTTAAAATGTGTTAGTGACTTTAGCTAAGTATCACTATGCCACAATATTGTGAAATTTATATAATTAATCTCAATAAAGAAAAAGTGTTACTTTTTAAAAATACTGACTAAAACATTGAGTAATATGTATTAAAGTTTCACATTCTTGTGGAAATCCATTAGTAAATTCACTATTATTTATTATTATAAACATAATTTCTTTTTCAAGACAACAGTGGCTCCCTTAGAAGGCATGGATCACAGTTCAAAAGACTCCATTTCTAACGTACAAGTAAAAATATAGGACTGGAGGTATTTCTCAAATGGTAAAATGCCACTTGTGAATAAGATAGCCAAGAAAGGAAGCTTGGAGCCCTGATTTCCAGGACCTGCACACGCGCACACATGCACACACACACACACACACACACACACACACACACACACATTTTTTCCATATTGAAAACATAAGTTGATTTTTTAAATTCCCTTTTCTTCCTACCACCCAACTCTGAAAATGTCAATCCTGTATTTAAATTCATTTTTAAATAAGCAAGTGATGTCTTTTCTCACGATGGTCTATGGATGCCACTGTGGGCAGTGACAATGATGCCAATCTCAGAAGATACTAGGAGATAAAAAAAAGGGAGAGAGAGAGAGAGAGAAACACCAATATGTTAAAATCACACAATCATTAAATGAAAAACAGCCCAATATGTGTGAGCAGAAGAAAAGAGATGCCCACACGTGGCAGGTGTGACACTCCAACCCAGAGAGGGCCTGGAATAGCAGGAATAGGCTCTGGATCCCACCTGTGATCCCTGGGCCTGCTGCTCAGGATCTGTCCCATATGGTGCTGCTGAACCTGGGCGCAGACAAGGGCAAGGCCTTGCTGTATTCCAGAGCCATGTACAGTCCCTCATGCTCAAGTCCCTGATCTCCTTCTTGATGATGATCATTGCTCCATGCCTCAAGGGCTGCTGGGAGTATCCTTCCCCTTCCAGAGCAGGAGCCTGAATCTCATCTTCCCCCAGAGGGGCCATATGCTTCGTCTTTCTCTACTTCACAGGGAATTTACATTTTTGCCACCTAAAGAAATGAATGTAAGATTGTGTTCTTATGGGGGTTTTGGTGCGGGTTCTGATAGTTGAACTCAAGGTCTGGATGTTGTTTCTGAGCATTGTTTTTGTGTAAAGCTAGTGCTCTACCACTTGAACCACAAATATACTTCTGGCTTTGTTGGCTAATGGCATATAAAAGACTCATAAATTTACTGCTCCAGGCTTGCTTGGAACCCTGGTCCTCACATCTCAGCTCTCTAAGGAGCTAAGTTTACAGGCCTAGGGTATGGTGCTCAGCTAAGTGTGAGTGATTTTAATGTAACTTGTAAGTGTTTAGACATAAACTGTTACAGGTGTGTTTGCATTGGGCTCTCTGCTTATGGACAAAAGACATGAGATCAGAATAATTCTGGTAAGTTGTCCTCTTTGACAAGGTAAACATCCATTTTATTTCACTGAGAGCCCAGGAACAGGTCCCTTGTACCTTAGCCTCTTTCCTTAGAAATTACTCAATACTTACTTCCTTTACTATCAGTGTATGTTGAATGTATAAGGGCAACTATCTTTTTATTATTAGCACAAAGTGGTAAGTTTACACTTCATAAAGGGCCAAAAGTTATTGGATCTGAACTTTCCTTGTTCCTACTTCTCTAGTGGACAACAAATAAGTCTTCATAATGCTTTATGCAGACATTTGACATGGTAGTCTAACACTCATTTATTTTGTTTAGTTAGGCTATTTTGGTTCTCATTGAAGCTTTATGGTAGTAAAATTCATCAGTACCCTTTTGTTGTATACATACTAATGAAGAAATGGCATTCAATACAAAAGCAAATGCTTACAGAACATTGAGCACTCTTTTCTTTGAGTCACTGTAAAAAGAATGATCGGTTTGGCTTCCACACATTTCTGTCTCTGGGCAGATGCTTTTATGTTTTCCAGCAATGGCCCAGCAGAATTACAGACAGTGCTGTGTGTGTCTCTCTCATGCATGAGTCGGTGACATCACTCCATTGACCCACAGTTACAGCACTGAATGACATCAAGGTCTCTGGACTCAGCGAAATGAGCTTGCTTGTCCTTTGGAGTCCTGACTGTATAATGCAGTGGTGACTTGACAATATTCCCACTTCAAGCTCCTCAACACTTCTGATTATTTAAGAGGCTCTTCTGAATCATGCCAGTTCTCATAGAATTTTAAAGAACATTGAGAGATACAGAGTCTGAGCCTATCTAATGTTTTGTCCTCTCTTTGAGGAGCTTTTTCTCTTCTTATAAATGATTCCATTTCTCAACCATTAACATTGAGGATTCTTAGAGACTGGGATGACAAGGCGCTTCTTGGCACTCTGTACTTTTGGTTTTCAATAAGAAATAATGATCAATAAGCAAACTGTTGCTCTAGCTGCTCATTTGGACAGCTCTAGTTATGTTGATGCACGCACATTTCTTCCCTAAAAAATACATTAAAAGACTCCTCTGCGAAACTGAAACATATTAACATCCTGCTCTAAAATTCTTAATGAAGGAAGAGAGAAAAGGAGAGATTTTCTGAAGAAATGCATGCAGTAATATAACAAAATAGAAAATATGTGAGGAGAAATAGACAGTGATACCAGAGAGTAGACTCGAGGTACCATAATGAAAGCATGGGAACATTTCACAGCATAACGTTCAGATACTAGTAGCCTTAAGAATATAATGATATGCAAACAGCAATATAGCATAGGTAGGAAGAATAATTGAGACAAGAAAGAGAAAGGAAGAAGCACAGTAGATAGTGCACTCATTCAGAAGTATGATAGCATAAAGGACATATTACACTGGAGGAAGCATAAAATATATATATTAGAATGAAAATTTAGGAAGTCTTGTTAGGAATTTGATATGACTCTAACATAACCAGAGGAATGAATGAGAGTAACTACTTTGTTCAAAGAATTCCTCAAATAAAACTAAGATGTGCCTATCAAATTGGTAAAGATTACTCTCAGAGCTTCTAAACATTGTAGGCAACACTTATGTTCATCTTAATGTCTGTTTCTTCCAGACTGTGAGCTCTCCCTGAACCTGGACAGAGAATTTCTCTCAGGTCTTATCAAGATGATGTAGCACTTGGGGGCAAAGATGCAGCCCAGGAGACCTCCACTGGAGGCCAAGATGGAGAAGACCTCCATGGCCACTATGACCTTCCCCTTGGTGCTGTGGTAGACAGGCAGGAAGGTGAGCCACACACTGCAGAACACCAGCATGCTGAAGGTCAGGAATTTGGCCTCATTGAAGGTGTCAGGCAGGTTCCTGGCCAGAAAAGACACTGTGAAGCTGGCCAGGGCTAGGAAGCCCAGGTATCCCAGGACACAGTAGAAGACACTGAGGGAGCCTATGTTGCACAGGATGATAACATGGCCATGTTCAGAATGTACATCTGTGTCCACAAAGGGAGGAGAGATTCCCAGCCAGAGGCCACAGAGGATCACCTGGATGAGGGTGCAGATGGGAATGATGAGGTTAGGAGCCCTGGATCGCAGCCACTGCCTCATGCTTCTCCCTGGAGCAGTGAGCATGAAGGCAAGAACCACAGTGATGGTCTTGGCCAAGACCGTGGAGACAGCCACAGTGAAGACCACTGCAAATGTGGTATGCTGGAGGAGGCAGGTGGCTGTGTGGGGACGGCCAAGGAAGAGCAAGGAGCAGAGGAAGCAGCAGATGAGGGAGATAAGCAGGATGTAACTGAGGGCCCGGTTATTGGCCTTGACAATGGGGGTGTCTTGGTGCTTGATAAACACCCCAAGAACCGCAGCTGTGAGTGCAGAGCAGCAGAGAGCTGTGCAGGCGAGAGACATGCCAAAGGGGTCTTCATAAGCCAGGAAACTCTCAGTTTTCAAGAGGCAGGTGTTTCTCTCAGTGTTGGCCAACTGATGATCTGGACACCTCACACACTGCTCCATGTCTGGTGAGTAGTGAGAATCGTTGTTAATCTGGGTTCCATATTTCTCTTTCCTCTCATCCCCCTTCATTCAAATAGCTCATTTTCCCTGATTTACCAGGTGACCTGTATTGACTTCAATACAAAGTGGAGTAACTCTCTATATCAAAATATTTTCAGGGGCTGGGAAGGTGGCTCAGTGGTAGAGCACTTGCCTTGCATGCTCAAGGCCCTGGGTTCGATTCCTCAGCACCACATAAGCAAAAAGAAAAAAGCCGGAAGTGGCGCTGTGGCTCAAGTGGTAGAGCACTAGCCTTGGGCTGAAGAGCTGAGGGACAGTGCCCAGGCCCAGAGTTCAGGCCCCACGACCGGACCAAAAAAAATATATATATCTATCTATATTTTCAGGTGAATTCTGTTTCTAACATTTCTTGTTCTTTCCTTCCTCCATTTCTCTTTTTTCTGTTTATCTCCTTCCTTCCTTCCTCTGTTCCTTCCTTCCTTCTTGCCTTATATACTTTTTCTCTCCCTCTTGTCTTTCCTTCCTCCCTCCATCCCTCCTTTCTTTCTAACTTCCTTCTTTTTTTGCTTCTGTTTTTCTTCCTTCTTTCCTTCCTTCCTTCCTTTCTGTCTTTCCTCCAGTGCTTGAACTCTGGCCCTGAGAATTTTTTCAGAGTATTCATGCCAAAACCACCACTCTACCACTTGAGCCACAGCTTCAATTACACTTTTTTGGGTGCTTAATTGTGGAAAAACATCTTTATTAGTTTCCTGCCCATCATTGCATCTAAACTCCATTGTAAAATCTCAACTGCCTGAGTTTTGCTTGGTTTAAGGGGTAATATATAATTACCTAGCCTTATGTGCTGCAGTCTTGACAGGTTATATCACTCTGGCTCTCTGCTACTCATTCAAGAAATAATGGAGAATATAGAATTACCCTAATCATTTCAGGTTTACCAAGAGGGTCTAATCCAAACCTCAATCTACTTCTTATACCAAGCACAAACTTCCTGAGCATTTATCTGTGTCAAGAACAATTTTCCTCTACTGATATGATAGGGTCTGGAAAAGATCAGCTGGATGATGGAGAAGAGAAATGAAATGGACATGGTAAACTACTTCTGAATCTTTAATATTTGAAGAATTGCTAATCAATCTAGTGCCAGTGTAAAACATGGAGTTATCATAACAAAGTCCCTTGTATTATTAGTGTTTGCTAAATAGAAAATCAATTTTAATTAGAAAAGAGCAGTACTGGGCACTCAGAAATGAAAGACTGTGTTAGATGTAAAATTCCATGATGATTTTCACATCATTTCAAAGATCAACAACTGGTCCTTGATATTTTCTTTTTTTCCTTTTTTTTGTTTTCTTTTTACTGTCTTTTACTTTTATTTTCTCCATTTCTCCTTTTTTACTAAATATATATATATATATATATATATATATATTGTGAATATACTGTACAGATGGGTTACATTTACATGAGTAAGTTAATGAGTAAATTTCTTATGGAGCATTATTACCCACTCCTTTGCTTTTTATATGTTTTTCATTGTAAAAATATTGTACAGAGGAGTTACAGTAAGGTAAGGAGTAAGGTAATGAGTACATATCCTATCAACATTGTTGCCTCCTCCTTTT